GCTACCAAAGTACAAAAAGTGCATGATGAGGTCTGGTGATGACAAATCATCTAATGTGGCTATGACACACCGAGTATGGAGTCTGGAGGGAATGGCAAAGGGAAAGTAGGTGCATCTCAGGTTTCAGGACATGATTGTAAGTGTTTAGGCCAGGTCAAAGGTTTTGAATTGCACCCTGTAGTCATTTTGCCAATACTACAGGGCCATAATGTGAATTCCATAAATAGAGGGACAATGACATGTTCATTTTAATATCTCCAGAGGCTGAAGAGTAGATTTTTATATATTGGCTAATTTAATGAGTAGGAACTCAGTGAATATTTGATTGATAAATGAATAATCATAAGTAAATAATGGTCATAGAGGTCTTTTTCATGGTTCATCAATATTTTCACAAGGTAATTTGAACCATTTCAAAAGTTGCTTTGGGAGCTGAGGGTTTGGAGAAAAGAATACCAATCAGGAGGTTCTTACAGGATGATAGAAAAGAGTTCATCAGAACCTGATTGATTATAGGACCTTTAAGTAGGTAAGGAAATAAATGGCTGAGAATGGTAGAGGTAGATGCTCTAGGGCTTCATATATTCATTCTGCAAGCATTTAATGAGTACCTATTATATTTCTGAGCACTGTTTATCACTGGGGATAGAGATAAGTGAGAAATATTTCCTGTACTCAAAGGATTTATTCTGTTGGTAAAGAAAAAAATAAAAACTGATTATAGGGCAGTAATATAAGGGCAGGAAATTAACATGCTAAGTACTAACTTTGTATTATAAAGGCCAGGGGCTGGAGTTGTGGCTCAGCAGTAGAGCATTCGCCTAGCATGTGTGAGGCCCTGGGCTGGATCCTCAGCACCACATAAAAATAAATAAGTAAAATAAAGATATTGTGTCCAACTACAATTGAAAAATAAACATTAAAAAATAAATAAATAAAGGCCAACCTATCATGTCTAAGTATTTAAAAGCTATCGTCAGATTAATAAACTGTTAAAGTCTACTCCATTTTCTTGCCTTAATACATATACCTTCATAACAATCTGGAAGTCCAGGTTCAAATTCAGAATTCTCAGACTCATCAGCTGTTCATAGCCCATAGTGTCCCACCCCCTTTTCATCTTGTCCAGGTTTCATGCTTCCACAAATAGCCACCCTTTTGTCACCTCTGTATCCTGGAGTATACACCCATCAGTAGGGTAACTCTACCAAAAAAGGCCTGGGAATTTCTGGGCCTGGGATGTGCTCTATAAGGGAAGATATGGACTCAGAGATAGGAAGAGCTAGAGGAGGGCCAGAGCAGGACCCTCGGCCCAGTCCTAACTTCCTTTGTCTAAGAGCAGTTTGAGATGAGAAAATGGGTTAAGAAACTTGCCCACATATCTCCAGCAGAAAGTGGCAGAGCCAGAATTGCACAGCATCAGAATTGCACAGCATCGGGAGCACACCAGGGTGGTACCTCAGCCATGCCAAATAGCTGAAACATAAGTGCTCCTGAACTCATTGCCTGCAGTGAGGAGCAGGAGACTTTCTAGGAGGGAAAGAGTCAGAGAGATGTTTCTAAGAGGTGTATGTTGAAAATCTTGAAGGGGTGAGTCAGGGACAGGGCTGGAAGTGGAGAATATTGTCTATAGTCCTTGTCCTGCACCCAGAGACAGGAAGGGTAACAATCAATTTGGGAGAGTTAGAGGTACGTTTATGGGATAGGGAGGAAGAATAAAGCTGCTGACATTAGAGTTAAGCACCCAAGAACCAAAAGGGGGCATATGACATTTTGGTGACAGGACTAAGGGATGAGTCCAGAGTAGAAATGGCTTAAAGTTTTCTCCCCTGAAAAACAAGGGAGGTGGCAAATCATTTATAGAAATAGGGTCTCTGGAAGGAGGCTCAGAATACTGGGCTTTTAAAGTTTGGATTATATGTTAATGATGAGAATACTGACAGAAAGAGAATGAAAGTAAGTCTGATAGAAGGTAGCTATGCTTAAAGAGTGGACAGGAGAGATAATTAGTCAAAAACAAAAAACTGAACAGTTGAAGTTTCTCAGTGATAAGGAGCCTGATTTGCATAATGTCACCAGTGCTATGGTATGGTTAAGTTTGAGAAGGAACTTTCAGTTCCTGTGAGGCCATTAACTACAACGCTCAAGGAAAGGAGACCTCTACATTTAGCAATAAATAAGAAGTTAGGACCACAGATATGGAAAATTGTTTGAAAACATTTCCTGGTATATGAGGAAGTATAGGGAGTGAATAGAATTAGTTTTCTTTTTTAAAAAATTAAGTTGGCTTCAAAGGAAGAAGAGAGATTATACATTTGTTTGACAAAAAGGGTCTGGGAAGAAAATGGACTTTTGATGATGAGTATGATCATAATGTGAAGATATTTATAATATTCTTGGCTGAAATTTTGCAGTGATATATGAGACAAGAGAGATAAATATTTTGATAGAACTTACCCATCCATTTCTAAAGACAGACCCCACCATTGTCCATCTCAAGATTAGATATGTTCTATAAACATCCCAGTCTCTGACAATCATCACAAGAAGCCCAGGGCTTCCAGGTCACTCCTTATCTAGTGAGTCTCACCTCCCAGTCTTCAGTGCTCTTTTACAGTGAGACCTGCTCTTCTCCTCCCTAGCTTGGACCTCCCATCCTCTCTCTTTCCTCCATTATTTTTTCTTTGTAGCATTTAAAACTATCTGGCATGTACTCACTTATTTTATGATGACTTTCCTTTCCATAATAAAATGTCAGCTCCAGTACTTAGTTAGAATAGTGTTCAATACATATTTGTTGTACAATGAATAGAGAAGGAGTTGGGAATAATTGATGGAGCAGGATTCCAAAGCAGGTATTGGCAAATTTTTTTAACAACCAGCCAAATGGTAGTCTTTTAAATCTTGCTAGCCACAATCTCTGTTCCATATTATTCTTTGTTTTATAAATAATCCTTTAAAAAATGTACAAGTCATTCTTAACTCACAGACCATACATAAACAAGCTGCTCAGTGACCTTAGCTTACCAACAGCTGTTAAAGTCAAGGAAACAGGATTCAAAGCACAGGTAAGGATAATAGCTCTGAAAATGAAAAGGGGTGTGTCTTCCTCTGAGAATGAAAGTGAGAAAAAAATGAAATATAAAGAGCAGACCAAAAGAATTCATGTCAGTGACAGCCTTCTCATACAGGAAAAGTAAGGTCTGCTTGCAAAGTGGGAAAGTTCTAAAAGAATATGTTGGCAAATCAAATAGAGATCAATAAGACAATTGATAAGCACCACAGTATTCAGCCAAAGTTAGACAATATAAATCTGTGCAGCGTGCTATAAAACTGAGGGGAGATGGGAAAAGTTAGGTCCCAAGAATTTTTGGTTGTGATGTTAACAAACTTCTGAAGCTGGCCTGGCATACTAGTTAAGAAAAATATAATAATTAGATTTCTCTTATGTTATTTTTTAATTTAAATATTTCTAGAAACAAAGAAAAGTGAACTACGGTATGAGTGTTAATACCAACAATTAACATTTACTACAGCCTAAGCTATTTATTAATGACTAAACAATGGTCATTATCTCATTAATCATCCTAAGTGGGTTCTAGCATTATCTCTGATTTGCAAATAAGAGAGCTGAAGCTTAGAAAAACTTACCCAAAGGCACACAGAGCTCTTAAGTGACAGTCAGATGAAGCCAACCAAGTTTGGCTGATGTCCAGTCATGCTCTTCATTAATTGCAGTATGGTGCTGATTAGTGAACTGATATCAACATGGCAGGAGGTTTCTGGTAACAATTATAGTTCTCACCCTGTCTTAGTCAGCATTTTTATATTGTCTTAGATGAGGACATAGATAGTGCATGTATCAAATTTTCCAGTAATGTGAAATCAGGAAGAATAGGAACACATTAGATAACAGTCATGAGAATCCAGAATTATCTCCAATTAGAATGGTTCACCAAAGAAAAATTTAGCAGAGATAAGAATGTAATCCTTTACTTAGGTCCAGAAACTACTTCCCAAATGTACTGTTTTAGCTGTGGGGTATGTAGGAAGAAAAATGCCAAGAGGTTTTAGATATTCCCGTTAAGGTCCGTGATTAACTGTGGCTTGCCCAGAGAAAATTAGATAGGAAGCTATTTAAGACCACTTCATCTGAGGAGTAATTAAAGAAACTCATGAAGTCTTAGAGCTAAAAGCTCCTATGGTGATGGGGCTAAAGAGAGAGCAAATGTTTCTGAAAGTTTCATCTACTCTAGAAGATAAATTAGACTTGTTCTGTGTGACCTTTGTGGTCAGAACTAGGAATAAGAAATAGGCATTACTGGGAGCCAGAGTTTGACTTGGCATGAGAAATAATTCTCCCCAAATTAACCGGTGCAAAATTATACTCATTGCATTGGGAGTTAATGCATCCCCTATTGCTGGACATGTTTTCAACTGAGACTGAACTATGATTTCTTAGAACTTACTCTATATGACCTGCCAACACCAAGTCTTTGTTTCTAAACGTGTCAAATGAATAAAACAATTCTATACCATTTTTCAAAAAAGTAAACTCATCTTTCTTCTGTACTGTTTGCAACCTGATTTAGTGCAGTGTTAGATGTACAGTGATATATGTTACAGAAATTCTGTTTTGAACCTAGTCTGTACAGATTCTGATTTTTCACTTGTAATATGACAAGATGTTTAGCACACTGAGTTACTCTTTGAGTATTTCTCTGAAAAGGATGTGTACTTTACTTGTAATTCTTGCCAAAGATTATACTGAATTTGTACTATTTTCCTGCCAATATTTCTTCTAAACCATCTCCCATATATAATTTGTAGTAAATTCTCTAAATATTCATGGTGTTTTCTGTAATGTTTTTCAAGAGCCTTGAAAACCTTATTCCTATTCTAAAACTCTAATTCTATTTGTGGTTTTAATTCTTTAAAGTTTACCTAATAAACAGAGTTATACTACTTATTGATAAGAAATACTTTTTTAAATTTTTTAGGTGTCATCCCTTTTCATGGATTTTCCATGTATGGTAAGTTGGGCTTTAAAATATTCATTGTTGAAAATTTATGTATAAATAGCTATAAAATATGCATCATTTTTAAAATGAAAAAATAAAGATAACACTGTATATTATTATCATCACACACTTAACAAATTATTATGAGCATTTCTAAACATTGAATTTAGTATTTGTTTATCTGTCCAAATTTTAAAAATCAGAAATAATAGGTCATTGTAATTGTTTAGTTGATGATTGTTGCATAGATTAGAAATAGAATACTCTTAAGTTTTTTTTTCTGAGATTTACCATCTGATTCTAATCCAGTGAAACAGAGACACACATTGTTAATTCTAATAGGTATAAAATCAGTTTGCTTAAATTCCTGAACTAATTCTTATATGAGTCTTAAAAAAAAAAAAGAAGAAGAAGAAGAATAGGTCAGAAAGAATCTGAAGGGAGGAACAATACTGAATTTGAGCTCATGATTTCTCCAGATTACTGGTGTACACAGCAACAATGACATTGGAGCATTTGGTCATCCTCTGGAAAAGGCATGTGCAGGAATGAGAACGCTGAGTGCCTCATGGGCCCCACTTGCACTGAGTGAGAAATGCAAGAAGCTTAACAAAGAGTAGAAAAAGAAGGGATGCTCTGCACTAAAATCATTTGATTTTAATATGTTCATGTATACACATAAACTTGTTATTGTCCCCTTTATCTCTACCTCTTCCCTTTAGAATAAACAGATAAATGTCTTACCTTTGTAAAAAGAATCAGCAATAAATTAGCACTTTTCTTTTTATAAAAGCACCTTCATGTTTCCATCAGACAGTCAAGGTGAATGACATAAAACTTTTTAACAACTTACAATGAAAAGAATACTGAATAAAATTTTATAACATAGTATCCTTCCCACATATTTTTTATAAATATGAAAAATCTAAAATAGAAAAGCCTCAAAGCTTGAGAGTACAATTTTTTTACCTCTAATAATAACAAATATTAGCCTTTTATCCTTTTTTAATAATTCTAACTGCAGGGATTTTCCAAGTAAATAGTTTTTAGGCATACTTGAGTGATTTGACAATACTTGATGCTGCATAAGTTTAAATTTTCTAGCAATTGTCAGTGCTCAAAATATATCATGGAGGGCTAAGGATATAGCTCAGTGGTAGAACACTTGCTAGTGTGCACAGGCCCTGTGTTCAAGACCCAGAACCACAAAATTAAAACAAACAAACAAAAAACAAAAACTAATCCAGGCTTGGTGGCCCAGGTCTGTAATACCAGGTATGCAAGATGCTAAGGGAAGAGGATCCCAAGTTCGATGCCAGTCTGGGCAACTTCAAGAGACCTTGTATTAAAATAAAATTTTAAAAGGAATGGGAATGAGCCTCCAGTACCACAAAAAGAATGTTTTGTTTTGTTTTAATCCTTGTAGTTAGGATCTGACTTTTCACTTTCATGGTCATTTAAATAGGCTAAGAGAAAACAAGAGCTAAGGAAATAGATGGTGCAAAATGTTTGATGTAGGTTTATGTGCACCATTTTAGAAAATTGTTTTAAGCAACTACAGATACTAAATTAAGTAGTCATTTAAAATGAGTATCTAGAATAATCATAGATCATCCCTAAGAAACTCAAGTTAATACTTCACCACTTCGCTTTTAGTTTGTTTTTTGTTTTATTTTTTTAGTTATGCTACTTAAATTTTCAAAAATTTATTCAAAACTTTTCTCTAAATTGCCTTCTGTTCTCCCATTTATATAAACTAGTATATAATTATAATTGTTATTATGATTTCATAAATAAATTCCTACAATACAGTATTTAATTTGTTGAATAAACTAATAAGCTAAATTTATTTTTATGTAAGAGCCAAATAAGGAAAAATGCTTGAGATTAAAAAAATTAAATCATGTAGAAGATTTTTTACATATTATATATAATAAAGTTTTTCTATTTCTTAGCTATATAAGGAAATTCAGCATAAACAATTGTGTTATCCTGAGTAATAATTAATTTTATTTTTTGTATCATAAATGTTTTTTAGAAATGTGATTTTTTTAAAGTTTTTTCTTCATTCCTTCATTGGAAACAGTCACTAAAAATTTCTAAACTCAAAAAATCTTCAGATTCAGCTTATAGATTTTTATGTATCAATTTATGTATAAATAGCTATAAAATATGCATCATTTTTAAAATGAAAATAAATTCTAAACTTTCACTTTGAATTTATATTAATGCCATGTATTTGTGCCACATTGCTTTCTCTTAGATTGTTATTGCAATTAGAACATGAATTATTCTTTTAAAATGTGTGGAATACCCTTATTTGGGCAACTTTAATAATCGGTCACTTATTTTGATAAGTTTTTAAAGTTAGTTTTTTAATGGTAAGACATGCCTGTCTTCTTAAACTTTATATGTCTCTCTATAAAATACATATTACATGTTTTTCTATGTGTATGTATATAGTCATTTTTATATTTATTTAACTATCTCAAAATGTTTCTCGCCCTTCAGAAAATGTAAAATTTTTTTTGGCAATGGTAGTTTTCAGTGACTTATTAATCATTAATACTGTATGTAATGCTCTTTATCTTAGATAATTGAATTTTTATACTTACAGACATTTAAAATAGTTTACCATTTTTCCTTTCATTTTGTCAAAAAGAAGAGATCTAAATCAGCTCCCTGATATCCTGGCTTACTTAATTCCCGCTGCCTTCTGGGGTGTACCTGCAGATTATAAAGTCTCAGAACTTCTAATTTGTTGAATTTATATCATTTAAATAACCCTAAAAGAAAGACATTTTTATCAAAATTAATATATAAGTAATGTAGTTTTGTCTCTCTACATAATAAATATGTTTTGCTACATAAAATTCATAAAGCTTGAAAAGAAGGCAAGTGTGACAATGTTTGTCAGCATAGAATAGTCCTGTGGTCAGGTCAGTCTCCCAGAGTAGCACTTTCCTGCTGTGGGATATCTGGTTGACTTGATCCACCTGTGTGTAATTGCCAAGAACTAGGTGCAGAAGAAAATGTACTTCAGTGTTCACTAGAGAAATAAGTTCTCTGGCAGAGCATTGTTTGAAGTCAATGAAAAGTGTCTTGCTCTACATAGAGATATGCTAATATAGATCAATAGTGTCAAAGTATTACTCATAATCTTTATTTTCAAATTGTGTTAATTGAAGTCCTTGATTCTAAAAGATAGTCATATTTTAACTTACCTGACTCAAAATTAAAAGCTTTGAAAAGTTGCTTAAATCTTTTGTGGGACAAAGTAAAAATGAGTTGTCTAATTGTCACTTTCTTGTTACTTTAAAAAAAAAAAGGAGTTGCCAATGTGCTGTTGTAAATTCTAGGACAGCCGAGGCAATGGAGGAAGACCCTGTCTCAAAATAGAAAGTCCTTGGGATGTAACTCAGTGGTGGAGCACTCCTGGGTTCAATCCCCAGTACTGTAAAAAAAAAAAAGGACTGGACTTTATGCAGTTCTTAAATATTACTTTTAATTTTTAATATCCTTTATATAATTCTGTTCTGTCATTCTCGGCCTACTGTTAAAATGGTATAATAGTTTATAATTTAATGACTCAACTTTCACCTGTGCCAAAATGAAAAATTTAGATAAGATTTTAAACTTGTTTATAAATGAATATGATTATTATAAAATATTCATATTGTTTCATATTTCATGGGCTTATTTTAAAATTTTTAGTAGTTTGGAAGTATTATCAATTAATTTTTTTTCTTTCAGTTGCACCACTTTGTTTTCTATATCATGAACCTTACAAATTGTATCAGATATTCCGTGAGATGTATGTACGTTTTTTCTTCAGACTCCATTCCATCTCTTCTCATCCTTCTGTAAGTTCATAAAAAGTTTGATTCTTATCATACTCCAATCTGTTCTCTCCTTTAAGAGAAGTCTCCTACTCAAATTATAAAGTCATATAAAGTTTGTGATTTCAAACAACATATTTCTGTAGAATAAACAAAAGAGAAGAATCATATTTAAATATTTTTGGTAATAGGAAAAAGTTTCTTCTCAACTACATTTAATTTAATCTTTATATATTCAAAGAACAAACATAGAATATCTGCGTTACTATCCTTGACAAGGATGCCCACCTTCTTTGCTGATTTGCTCATCTGTGAAATGAGGTTAATACTATATCATCCGTGGTGCTGTAGAGCAGTCTACAAAGCATGGAGGGTAGTTAAGACTTGGTTCATTGCAGGTACTCAGTAAGTAAATGGCTGCTGCTTTCATTGTTATTATTATAGTTATTATCATCTCTTCTTTTTTAATGAAAATCAAACATTTATTTATGTCTTGTTTTTCAGTTTCTTATTAGTCTACTTATCAATTACTGTGGTAAATAGATGTTTTCTTTGTATTTATTCATTGTAAAGCACCTTTGACCTCAATATGAGGGTCAAGGAAAAGCTTACCAGGAGTTGCATATTTTTATCTGTTTTATTTTCTGTTCCCTTCTTCTATCTTTTCCCCCTTCCTATAAACCTAAGTAAAGGCAGTGTTTATTTCATTCTGTTATGCTTTTCCCCAGCTTTGAATCCAGTTTGCCCTACCTGTGATTAACTTGACTGCCTCTCTAGAAGTATTCAATTGGAATATGTCTCAAGGCTACCATGTTTCTCCCCAGAGACGATTGTGTTACTGCTGCTAATCAAATAACTGCTCTTTGTCCCCTGCTCCTATTTTAAGACTATATCCCTATTGCACATTTCTTATGTACAGTTTTGTTCTCCTGCATTGCTAATGAAACTTGTCAAGTAACAGAGTCACAGATAAACAAAGCACCACCAATTATCTTGGGCTTCTTCTTGGAGAATGATTTAGTTATTACCTTACATTAATGGTTATTATAGAATAATCAGAAATGTTAATAATTATTAATGGTTAATATAAATGTTAATAATTATTAATGGTTAATATAGAATAACCAGAAATGTTAATAATTAATATCAATAAGTCTCTTCTCTAATAGTTTTTTGTTAGAATCAGATTTTTTAATCTCATATTCTGTCATGTAATGCTTCAGAGTTAAGGAAGGAAGGAAGGGAGGGAGGGGGAGAGAGAGAGAGAGAGAGAGAAAGAAAGAAGAAAGAAAAAGAAAAAACTGACCCTCCAATTCATTCCAAGGTGTTCTCCCTATGCAGAGCATGAAGCCTGACCCTGAGCAACTCTGTATATCCCTTCTCTCTGTATGCTGGCCCTGAGGTGTCCCTTTTCAGCTAATTGATTAGGTCAGCCCTGCCCTACCCTTTGTTTATTCAGTGGAATAAAGACAGGCCGTCTTCTTTTCTGGCTTGCAGCCACACTGAATTATTTGGAGCCATGTCAACTTATTTCTTCAGAAATTCAAAAAGAGGATTAAAACTTCTTTACCAAGATCAACCCCAAGGAATGCTAAGCTGCAAAAAAAGGTTTTATTCAGAGTTGTCAAATAATAAACACACTTGAAAAACCATCTGCTTAGTTACTTCTTGTACTTTACAAATAATGCTCTTTACAAAAAGTAGATTTTAGTTAAAAAAAAAAAACTTTATACTAAGTGATCAAACATTCTTGTTTGATAACTTCCTGATGCAAATTTCAAGCAGTCAGCACTCAGTCTTTTCAAAGAAGGAGTGAAAAGAACAGCAAATATTTTCCTGAGAGGGTGAGGCTGGAGAGAAAGAGACATGTGGAGAGAGTAAAGGATGTGGTCATAGCACCAGGAAAATACTTGGAAACTGGAATGAATTCAGGAAAAAAAAAAAAGAAATAATAATAATTTTGTTGGATGTTCATAATAATATGTAGCTTACAAAGTAGCAGGTTGTCTGTAAAGTGATGTTACCTTGGGCTCTCCAAGTATTACATAGAAGGTTAGTAGGGAGGCTGTTGTTAAAAGGAGAGTTCTTAGCATATCTATGAGTACACAGAGAGATAAAATATATCTTTAAATACACTGTTAGAGATCCATTAGTGCATTCCCTGTTTTTGACCTTTCAACAATATAAAGACTTTTTCTGTTCATAGTGTCCTGTTTTCCATTTTGAGTAATGAGTTGGCATAGTTAATTTTTAAATACTAACCTGTTTCTCTTATGATTCATAATTATATCCAGGGTATTGTGTCACTCTGTTTGCTGTTTGAGACCCTTCTTCAAACATATCTCCCTCAACTCTTTTACCATCTACGTGAAATTGGGGCTCAACCGTGAGTATTATTCTCTCTTAACAAGAATAGATTCATAGGTGTCTTGCAACAGATGAATGGATAAAGAAAATGTGGCACATATATACAATAGAATATTATACATCCATATAAAAGACTATGGCATTTGTGAGTAAATGGATGGAATTGGAGACTATCATACTAAGTAAAATAAGCCAGTCCCAAAAAATCAAAGACCAAATGTTCTCTCTGATATGTGGATACTAACACAAAATAAGGAGTCGGGGACAGGTACAAATTCATTGGATTAGACAAAGGGGAATTAAGGGAAGAGGGGAGGGGAATAGGAAAGAGTAGAATGAATCAGATATAACTTTCCTATGTTCATAAAGGAATACACAACCAGTTCTCCATATCATGTGCAACCACAAGAATGAGATCCTAATTAGAATAAGTTATACTCCATGTATGTATAATATATTAAAATACATTCTACTGTCAAGTGTATCTAAAAAGAACAAAAAATTAAATAAATAATAAAAGTAACACAAGTATTAAAAAACAAAGAACCAAGTAAATTCTAATTCAGGGAATTAATGACATGCTTCTTTGACAATAACCTTATCTTCTTAAAAATCTCCTTATTTTACCCCAGTTTTGTTTTTTGTTTTTGTTTTCTTGTGGGGCAGGGAGAACCAGAGATTAAACGCAGGGGGCTTAACCACTGAGCTACTTCTGCAGCCCTTTTTATTTTTTATTTTGAGACACTATCTCACTGAGTTGCTCAGGGCCTCGATAAGTTGCTGAGGCTGGCTTTGAACTTGAAATCCTCCTGCCTCAGCCTCCCAAGCTACTGGGACTACAGGTGTGCACCACTACACCCTGCTTGCCTCAGTATTTATTGGTAGTTTTCATGTATAATTGTATGTATGTTAATTAAATAGAAATATGGTTCTTAAGTTTCAGGAGCATAGGATTTCACTGTGGAGTTAATAAAAGCTACAAAGCAACCCTCACACACACACACACAAACAAGAATAGTTTCACATCAGAAAGCTATTTTTTCATCATGGTAAAGCACTTGCAAATATATAGTAATTCTTCAGTAAAATCAAGCTAACAGTTTTTATTATTATAAAATAATAACTATCAAGTAGTAATTGTAACTGCAATGTGCAAAAAATTCTTGAAAGAATTACTAAAATCCTAATAAAATCTTATTCATTAGGCTCTTTATCTCTGATACAAGAATCACCAAAATGAACTAATTTCTATTCATAAGGAAAAATATTAGTCAAAACTGAGGCAAACATTTGTCGAAACAAATACAACCTGAGAAATGTGATAATGCTAAAATTAAGCCAGGATAGAGTAAATTGATCAGAGAACATCCTATGAAAGTTCTACAGGTTAAAGTCTTTTGTTAAACGAAACCAAGTTGTTTAACTACCTAATGGTTGTCCTATGATTTCTCCTTCTAGAAGTTTGAATTTTCTTCTCTGATCTCAGTATTAGTTATAGGTGAATAGCTCTGGACTTCAATATTATAGATTCTGTCTCATTTTTTAAATATTTTTTTTCATTTGTAGATGCACACAATATCTTCATTTTTGATTTATTTATTCTTATGTGGTACTGAGGATTGAATCAGTGCCTCACACATGCAAGGCAAGCGCTAGACTACTGAGCTACACCCCCAGTCCCTGGTTTTGTCTCTTTTTAAATACCATGTCTGAAGTTTCAAAATGATTTATCAGTGTTTTGTTTCTGTCTTCTCCTCTGAGCTATAATGTTTCTCTGTTAAAAAGACCCCATTTGAAAAGAGCTTTACTCTGAGGCCACTGAAAGAGTTAAGGGGAAATAAAATAATGTAGTATTTGTCTTCTGTATACTAACTGTTTTTTTCACTAGATTGAGCACATTTAGTTTATTGCTAAAAAACTAAAACTCTGGTATTTTTTCCTAGTCTAATTTATACACTTTAATCATTAAAAGGAACAAATTTCAATGACTTATGACAAACATTGACATTCTTATGGAGAAGGAAATATTAAAATTCCTATAGTCATAGTATAAATCAGTTTTTCAAAGGTTTTCATAATGAACTGATCCAATTAGAAGGTTTTTCATTTTGAGTTTAATTTCTTTAATAGCTATAGAACTAGTCAGGTTATTCATGTCTTCTTGAGTGAGCTTCTATAGTTTATGCATTTTATCTAAGTTATTATACTTATGCACATATTTAATCATAATATTCCCTAATTATTCTTACTTATGTTTTCATATCTGTAGAATCATTGCTGACTTCGCCTTTCTGATTGTTGAGATTAGTATTTGTATCATCTCTCTTTCTTGATGATTCTGGCTAAAGGTTTATTTAGTTTATTCATCTTTGGAAGAACCAGTTTGGGGCTATATTGATTTTTCTCTTGTTTCTCTTTTTCAATTTTGTTGATTTCTGCTATTTTATTTATTCCTTTATTCCTTATACTTGCTGTAGGCTTAATTTGCTCTTGTCTTCCTACTTGTTTAAGTTGGTGTTTAGATCATTGGGACCTTTTAGCATTAATATTATAAATTTCTTTCAAAGTACCACTTTACCCTACCTAATAAATTTTGATATGTTGTCTTTTCATTTTCATTCAATTCACAATGCTTCTTAATTTCTCTTGTGACTTCCTCTTTGACCATTGATTATATGGAAGAATATTGTTTAATTTCTAAATATTTGAAAAGAATAATATCTTTCTGTTACTGATTTTTATTTTAGTTCTGTTACAGTTAGACAACATACTTCATATGATTTCAATTCTTTTAACTTTGTTGAAGTTTAGCATATACATCTTGGCAAATTTTCCATGTGTACTTGAAAAGAATTTTTCGTCCCACAAGTGTTGGGCAGAACGTTTTCTAAATGTCAATAAAACCAGGTTTGTTGATAATGTAGCACAAGTTTTCTGTGTACTTCTATACCCTCCTTAATAATTTTCTATCTACTTTTCCTATTGATTATTGAAAGGAATATTAGAGTCTCTAATTATAATTGTGGATGTTGTCATCTTCTTTCACTGTTATATATGTTTTTACTTTACATATTTCAGAAGTCTGTCTTTAGAAGAACTGTGGTACTATTATTATCTTGTAGTGTCATTCTTTATTCCTAGTAATAAATGTACTTTACCTGATTGATATAGCCATTCTAACTTTCTTTTGATTAGAATTCTCATGATATATTTTTTCTTTCTTTAACTTTTAACCTATCAGTTATCAATGCCTTTATTTCTTAAGTGGATAGTATAATGTTATTGGTATGGAATGTACTATTTTGAGTTTTCTGTTTGTTCCATTTATCCTTTTCTTTTTTCTGCCTACTTTTGAAATTTGAGTAGTTTTTATTCAATTTTATTCTGCTATTGAATTATTATTTGTACTGTTTTTTAAAAATTGTTTTCAATAGGTACCATATGATTAAAGTATATATCTTTAAGTAATCATATAATACTTCAAATAACTCCAGGCCTGGATGGCTTCGTTAGCAAATTCTACTAAACATTACAGTAAGAAATAATTTTAATCCTTCTCTGCTTGCTATCAAGATCTTTTGTTCTCAGCAGTTTAATCATGATTTAGCCAGGCATGGACTTTTAAAATTTTTCCTGTTTAGGGTTTGTTGAGCTTCTTAAATCTATATATTTATGTCTTTTGACAAATTTGGGGAGTTTTCAACCATTAATCCTTCAATTTTTTTTTCCTGTACCATACAAATTCTCCTTTTCTTCTGTAATTACAGTGACATAAATATTAACTTTTGATGATATCCCAACGGTCTTCAAAGCTCTATTCATTATTTTTCAATACTTTTTCCTTTATGATTCAGATTAGACATTTCTCTGTTGACCTATACCCAGATTCATTCTTTCCTCAGACTTTCCCATTTTGCTATCAGATCTATCTAGTAATTTGTTTTTTTGTTTCTCTGGAGTTTTAGGGTTTGTTTGTTTGGTTGGTTGGGTTTGGGTTATTGTATTTTTTAGTCCTACAATTTTCATGTGGTTCTTCTTTATTAAAACTTATAGAACTGTACATTTATAAGGGCACATTCTACTTAACATGAATTATACCCCAGTAAGCTTCATTTAAAAAAAAAAACAGATATTCTGTTTTCTGTGTATCTATATGTTATATGTGTGTGTGTGTGTGTGTGTGTGTGTGTATGTATGTATAATACATTAAGAATTTTAGTGAAATGAAACTAGTTGAAGATAATAATTTATTTAGACTTAAAAGTCAAATGCAATTTTCAAGTATTAAGATATCTAGTGGCCAGGGCT